GAGGCTGTAAATCTTTACAGGAGCAGAAAGCCTCATCTTTCTCCCGCAGAACAGCTGGTTGTTTTGAACTGCTGATCCTGAGATTAGCAGCCCAATTTGTAACCTCAGGGATTAATATTCCTACAGATAACACTGTTCTCTTCCTGTTGTTGTTGTTAAGTGCTGTCGAGTCGATTCCGACCTATAGTGACCCTGTGTAGGGTTTCCTACTCATCCCCCAAATCCAGTATTGGAAATATTGATTGGTGGGTTTTTCAAAGACATCACTTGTGGGCCATACTAATTTATTAACTTAAAATTTAGCCTGCTTTATTTGGTCAAATATTTAATTAACTCACCCCTAATATGATGGTTGTGCTGGTGTGGCACTCTATGTAAGCACTTGACCACATGGTCTGTTGGAACCATGAGGTTGGTGGTTCAAACTAACCAGCCACTCCTTAGAAACCCTATTCAGGGTTGCTATGGGTTGGAATTGGCTCGCTGGCACTTAACAACTAATATGCTAGCTGAAACTGCAGTTGCCTTGCCAGGGCCTGATGTTCCTTACCCCTGGCCTACAGAATAAGTCGCTCTAGAGTTAAATAACAAGTGAGTGGTCATAGCAGTTGGTGAGGATAGTCCAGAAAAACTAACTGAGGCAAAGGAAACACAGACCGGGAAGTGAAGAAATGAAAGTATAAATAATTACGTCAGCCTTGGTACCTGTGCAAACCAGGATTCTTGTACCTACATACTTTTTCCTTACTCTGTTTTAAATCTGTAGTTGTATATTAATTAGTCTTCCCCATTGGATGCTGTGGCCATCCAGTCCTTTTAAAGACCATGTGAATAGTTGCAGAATGTAGTCCTTTTCTCTGTGCTTGGCCTCTCTTATCCCCTCCCAGTGTGTCCGTTTGAAGTAAGTTAGGAAATCACCACTTTTCAAAGTGCCTATGATTCCTACCCACATCACACTACAGTGTTGTAAACACTGCGTAACCACGACAATTTATCTGCCAGAAGTCCTGTGGGACAGTTCCAGGGCAAATGCAGGTGTTTGGCATCAGGGGAGAGGGTGGCCCAGCTCTGAAACCTGATGAACCAAATATTGATGTCACCTCTGGACTCGAGTAGTTTTGCAGCTTTGGGAAAATTTTCTTAAAATTTTGAAGTGTTTTTCCCAATCTTTGAAATGTGAAAACAAAAACAACTTCCTTAAAAATTGGTTGTGAACTACAAGAACAAGCAAGTTGCTCACCCAGGAGACATCAAGGCCAGTGGTTGGGTCCCCTCAGAGCAAACCCCCCTTCCAAGACTAAGACTCAATAGGAATACACGCTCTGATTGGTGACCATTTTTGTCACCGATAAGGGGATGTGAGGGAAAAA